GGCATAATATTGCGCCCACAATGATCAGGATAGATATCTGATATCTCAGGCCCAAAAAACGTAAGTAATATCTCCACACATGGCATAAAACTCTTGGGTTTTTTAGTAATAGTAATATTGTTTGCCGTAAGAGATATACAAACGACAGAATAAACACCAGAATCGGGCTATAAATGAGTGAACGGTTTCCGGCATTAAATGGGTTGTTGAGTGAGAGGCCAAATGGGTACCAGCCCTGGCTATGATCAATGAGCCAGGCAACACTTCAGTGACTTTTATATCATCTACCATATTTAGTTGTATATTATAAGTTAATAAAGCAGTACTTTATCTATAACTTATAGAAAATTACTAATGCTTGATATTAAACTTATTATGAATTCTGTGTTTTAAACTTTTATTATAAATATCATTAATGTGGATATTTATAGATTAAAATACACATGCTAATTATATAAGAAATTATACGTTTTTAAAATATTTATTATGATGGCACATAAATATATAAAATATTTTTTATATTTTCATTAATATTGGTAGAGTACAAAATTAGTATAAAAGTATAATTTTAATCTAAATATACTAGTTTAAATTACCTATTTAAAGAAATCCCAATTATTTTTTAAATTAATGTAATTAAAATTTTACAAAATATTTTTACGTTAAATATATTTTAGTTTTTTAATCAAATCAATATAGTAAGTTTGTGAATCATTATAACAACATGCAAATTACATTATAGCAATGACAATTTTATGGATGTCAATTAAAGTTAATTACAGTTTTAAAACGGTATCATTAAATAGCCTATTATATTAAATGCAAAGTGTCGATATTATTACAATGCATCATTAACAGTAATGTTACAGTTTAATATAGTAATTATTATTATATTTAATATTGCACAATCATAATTATAATAATGGTTCATAATACAATTAATATTTGCATTAACCTAAATCCATTACTGTGCTAAATATTTGAAAAGTAAACTAGTACTACTGTAGTTGCCAATATTAATATTATCGTAATTAATAGTAAGCTTATTCAAATATGGTTGCAATGTACTTATATAGTAAGCTAGGAAAAAATATTTATATTGTAATTTTATATAATCCAATACAATTACATATATTTTGGCAAAATAAATAAGATACTATTAATCAGAGCAAGATCATTTTAACTTTTTATATGACAAGAGCCTGGCAATAGTTTTAAGCGCAAACACTTACAGTATTAGTAATGATTTTGTTTAATTAATTAAAATAATTTTTAAAAATAAAATTCTTTGTCAATTCTTGAATTAAATTAATTAAATAATTTTAGATTTTAATAAAATCAAAATGTTTAATAAATTTTACTTTAATTACTGTATAGATTTATACCGTATAACTTGTTATATAATTCCCTGTAATATTTTTCTAGATAAATTTTATTGCTACTAAAATTATTAATAATTTATTTCAGTTTTTTTACAATAAATGTAATTAATAGAAAAACAATTAATTCACATACAAATGTATTTATATACTTGTTAGTATTAATTTGAAATAAACAAAAACCATTAGCAATTTTATGATAAGCTTAAGGGTTTCATTGGGCGTATACACTATGATAGTAGTCGCCCTGGTGGTCCATGGTACTTCATCTAAATTTGACAATGTTAAACATTGAATTGTACTTGTTATAAATTATTACATTTGTGTAATGTTTCTAATATTATTAATTGTATATCTCACTAACTTTTCTAGCTCACAGTCAGTATTTGTACTAGTATCTTTTGTAATTAAAATTTTATAACAATGCTATTTGTTTGATATTACGTTTTTAAAATAATTAAATATATAATATATGTATAAATTAGTTTATTTTAATTTATTTTTAAAAACTAAAAAAGTCTCTGTAACATTTATGTTAACCATTTATATAATAAATGTTAGATTTTTATTATTTAATTATTTTTATAAACTATAATTTTAAAGCAAAGTTTTAATGTTAACTAGCAGATTTTTCAAATATATAGATAATACACTTATGTAAATGTAACATATATGTTTTAACACAATATAAAAAATAATTTTTGTTTTTAATAGTTAATTCATTATTTATTATATAGGATGTTCTTGATACTTTATTGCTAATTGCTAATTTATTGCTATTTTAAAATTAGCATGTTTTATTAAAGTACAATAAAATAAATTAATTTTTATTATATTTTTAGAAATGATTACATTATAATCCAAACAATTTCCTAATTAACATCTTGCACAATTCATACATATTCATATTATATTTACTTTCACCAACTACATATAACATCAAGGCATATAAATATGCAGTTATCAAGGTGATAATTTGAAGGGTTCCTGTATAAATATGAAAATCTACCAAGGTATATTCCATAAAATATATTATACAACCGCCAATACAATAAGTATACATCATTAGTAATTTGTCTATATAAGCTCCATAGCACCCACATACAGCCAGTACAATTGCAATTGAATACCAGGTTAATTGAGTAGGATCCACAGTGTTAATATTTTCAAAACAATATAATAGGCCCAAAATGAACTTGATAATTGTTATTAGATTTAGGTAGAAGTACACTACTCGCACGGTGATATAAAAATTAAACACCCTGCAATATTTAATTTATTTAAATATAAATAAATTTATATGCGCAATATTAATCTACTACTTACCATATCCACAATGGATTAGGGAAACACATTATTAAAATTTTTAATTATATATTATATCATAATTTTTATTTTATAATATTAAGTCAAAAATTGTTTTTGCCTTATTATTTATGATTCACATAGCATTGCATACAAAAATTGCAATTGCTATAATGTTGTTATGTATAAATACAAGCGAGCCTTATCAAATAATTGTGTTTTTATTGACATTGCGCATGCACATTATTATAATATTGGCGCATTTTATTTTTTAAATAACAATGTATTGCATACTAGCAGTGCAGATACCTGTACAATAGTTTTAAAAATAATAGTTGAATAAAATTTATTTCAAAATAACTTAAACATATTTTAACAATTCATGTACTATTGTGTAACTGCATAATAATAATAATATCTTACTTTAAATTACAGTTTATAGTTTTAAAATATGGTAAACATAATGTTATTTTTTAATTTATTATATTTTGCTTGATACATTATTACCATTTACACGGAACAGCACCGGCACTGATTATCCGTGTTAGTGCAACACTGTGGATAGCTACCTGAGCAACACATGCCATATGAGCAGGGTGTAAGGCACCAGTAACAATTTTCACCAGTTGTATTGTAGTTGACTACAAATATTAATATATATATATAAATATATAGATAAAGATAATTTATATTTACTATTAATTAATTATATTAATTACTTGTTATTGATGGTGATTTTGAATTAAAAATAACAGTGTTTGAACCTTGGCACTTAACACAATGTGGGTTACCTAGGGTAAATAATTTGCAAAAAGATATAATAAGAATAATTATTTTATGAAATATATTTACTTGAGAGTAACATAAGTATAACGACAACAGCCAGGTAACACTTCATTGTTTGTAATATTAATTTTAAAATTTTTATTTAATGATTATTGTATTATTAAAATTATTATTATAAAGGCTTGTATTTATATCAAATATCTATAATAAAATATTAGCTTACTAATACATATTAAAAATTACAAACTCATTATAAATTGGTTAATCATTTTATAAACAGGATATTTAAAACTTAATTTTTGCTAAAGATTTTGCAATTTTTAAAATAATTTATTAAACATCTACGTATTTATAAAATTTTAATTGCTTAATAAAATTACTTTTAAAATTATCTATACAATTGATATTTTATTTTAATTTTTATGTATACTCTCATGTAACTTAAATGAAAAATAATATTTATTAAAATATTTATTTTACTTTCTCAAGTTTCATACATTTATAATGCTATAATACATTATCTAGTATATTATTAAATAATTTAAAAATTGCTATATAATTATACAAATAAAATATTATTATAATAGTCCTTGTAATTATGTAAATTTTGTAAAATCATAATGTTTTTTAAAATATTAAATATTAATTTAATTTATTCATGTACATTACATATTTATCATGCTTAATTTAAATTTAATTGGTATTATGTGTTTATTTTCTTCATGAAAATGCTATTAAAATGTTTAATAAATGATTATAATTATGTATTAGCACATTTATTCATAATCAAATTTAATAATAAATAGACAAAAAAAATTATATAAAATCTTAATAATAAACACAAACATAATCTTATAGTATAGCACTTGACATACAGTATAAACATAATTAAATTAGTAAAACATAATCTGTAAAACTAATATTTTATTTAGCAAAATCATTTTAATTGTGTTAACTATGTACATAATCTTAAATATTTTTGCAAACTTGTTTACTATAATAATAAAATTTTTTATGTGCCACCAAACTGTAATAAAATACAATCTGTATCTCATGTAACTGCAACATATTGTTTTAACAATACAGGTAATTTAATATTTTATTTTATCAAACGGTAAATGTAGATAAGAAATGTGATAAGGTAACATAAACCGTTATACATTATTAATATGGGTAGTATTGTAACAATACTATTGTTAAGTTTTAAAATATTTTATTTATATAATGATTAAATGAGTAAAATTGTTAATTCATTTAAATATGTTTGTGTTATTTAAAATATTTTATGTTAATTATATTTAAAATAACACATTGTTGCTTGATTATACTCAATATTAGTACAACATATGGCGACATTTTCATAAATAAGTTTATTTATAAATTTAAAAATCTGAGTGACACTTATCGTACCACAAATATTTTTATAAAGGTAACATTGTGTTTTTAATTAAAACCTTTTTATATAATAAAGTTTGTTTTAATTTCTGGGTATTTTAATAAACAGGTTTATTCAGTCATAGCATTATAATTATGACTTCCCTTTTAATCGACATCACTATCGCAATCATTACAGCCGTAAGTATAATATTTCAAAGTTTTGTAATTTTAAGTGTTATATCATTTACAAAATTATACAAAATTATATAGAGTATAATTAATGTATGTACAGTATATTTATATATATATAATTTTATATATCTACAGGGATATATAAAAACACACATTTAAACTCTAATTTAATACTAAACAGTATATTAAATTAAATATTATAATCATATTAAAGTAGAGTTTAAATGTGTTTTATATATATCTCTACAGATGCTTAAAAATAATGTTTCTAAACTATTTGTATTATTTAATTAATTAATTTAATAAATTTTATTATAAATACAAATAAACTTATACTATTAATTACATAAAAGTAAACTTACCAATGTATATTTATAACCACCTACGCAGATAGTCACGTGCTATGACATCATAACGTGTCCCATATACCTATTAATTCAAAAACCGTGGCAACGTTTAGCAAACAGTAGGCGCCCAAAGGCCCGCCCCTTGGACCCTCGCTCCCCGTACAGCCCGTGGATCCGAGTCCCGGATCCCTTATCACCGGCGCGCAGACACTTCATGAGCGAATGCCAAACAGTGGCCGACCTGTTCGCACGGGTAGTCCAAAAGTACGGTCCGAAGCGGGGGTTCGGCAGTCGGCGGGTCCTGTCGGCCGACAACGAGCGCCAATCGGACGGCAAAGTGTTCCGCAAACTCGTGCTCTCGGACTATGAGTTCCACACGTATAATGAGATCGGGGGGCGAGTGGAACGGGTGGCTCGCGGGCTACTGGCGCTCGGGGTTAGGGCTAATGAAAATGTGGCCGTATATGCCGAGACCAGGATTGAGTGGATGATCTGGTAAGTGCTTAAATGTTTTGGGTTTAGTTGTTTAACAAGATTAAATTAGAATTTTTTTTATTAACTTAATGAGTTAACATTAAATAAAACAATAGGTATACTTAAACTTTGCTTTCGTATTACCCTACACGGTTCACGCTAAACATTTACTAAAACAAATAGTACCTTAAGTATACAGTAATATGAAAACATAATTAAAAGTATACCGTACCGTCCACTACGGTATGTTCACAAAAATCTAAAATTCATAAAATTAGTAGGAATTTGTAAAAACTATTTTAAAATATTAAAAAAGGTATCATGCTACTGTATTTCATTAAATGAGTAATTAAAATAATTTTTACATAATTAAGTCATTAAAATTATCTACATTTTAAAAATTATTTCCTATGATATTACAGCGCGCAGGCACTGTTCAAAATCAATGCTCCCATCGTAACTCTATTCTCCACACTCGGGAACGACGGTGTAGTCCACGGCCTAAACGAAACCGAAGCGGAGTTTCTCATCACTACCGCCGACCTGATACCCAAACTTCTACCACTACTGCCGCGACTACCAGCTCTGCGACACGTGGTCTACATGGAGGGCCCCGCTCGACCGGACCTATCGACGGGAGCCGTTGCCGATCGCGTGCGTTTCGAGGCCTTCTCGGCGGTGGAGGCCTTAGGGGCCGACACTGAACACCACAGAGAAGACCTCGAAGCGGGCCCGCGATCGGACTCGACGGCGATACTCATGTACACGTCCGGGTCGACCGGCACTCCGAAAGCCGTTCAAATTAGCCACGCTAATATCATGAGCACCGTGCGCGGATTTTGCGCTACACTGGGCAGTGGTTTAGGTTTGGACCTTTTTAAAGTTATAAATATATTTTTAACTATTATTATACTAGGGTTGCCAACACAGATATTAAATTAACAATGCGTTAACGAGAAGTGTTATTCAGTTAATTAAATAAAATAAACTGGATTATACTCGTCTGGTATGGTATAATAGGACTGCCCAGGTCCAGTAATCTAGCGGAATGTCCTTGGTGTCCAAAT